GGTGGGGCCGGGGTAGGGTGGGGGGTAGGATGGCGGTAAGGGTGGGGTAGTGGGTAGGGTTTGGGGTAAGGTAGGGGTATGGTAGGGAGTTGGGATAGGATGACAGTATGGTGGGGTTGGGACCAGGGTGGGGCCGGGGGTAGGGTGGCGGTGGGGGTAATGGGTAAGGTTTGGGGTTGGGGTAAGGTAGGGGTAGGGTAGGGAGTTGGGATAGGATGGCGGTAGGGTGGGCCCGGGATCCGGGTGGGGCCGAGGTAGGGTAGGGTGGGGGTAGGATGGCGGTACGAGGGTGGGGGTAGGATGGCGGTGGGGTGGAGCCGAGGTAAGAGGCATGTGGTAAGGGGTAAGGTAGGGGTAAGTGGTAATATACGAGGGGTGGGGGTAGGGTCGGGTGGGTCGGGTGGGGTCGAGGTGGTAGTGGGTGGCGGTAGGGTAGGGTGGATCGAGGTGGGGTCGAGGTGGTAGGGGGTGGCAGTAGGGTAGGGTGGATCGTGGTGGGGCCGAGGTCAGGGCATGTGGTGGGGGTGGGGGGTAAGGTCATTATAGGGAAAAATGGGTACGCGGGGTGGGGGTTTGGTGGGTAGGGTAGGGTATGGGTAAGGGGTAAGGTACGAGGATGGAGGTACCAGAATGGAATCGACATCGGAGCGGGACCGAACCCACCGCTAGGTGTAAGTATAAAAATTCATTGCAAAGGCACTGTAGCATCCGCGTTTTCCAAAATTGAAAAACTAGTAAAAGTCACTTCTCCAAATCATTAAGGAAAAGAGAGACATGTTTCATTTTTTCCGTTTTGGAAAACGATTTGGTAAACGCGTTTTTCTTTTTTCCTTTCTCCAGTTTTCCAGGAATTTCTTTGGTAAACACGTTTCCTGTTTTCTGTTTTCCAGTTTTCCAGTTTTCTGGAAAACTGAAAAATATTTCTGTTAGTAAACAGGCCCTAAGAGTTTCAAATAAGAGACACAGATATTGCATTGTTTCATAGTACTAGTAGTTTTTAGAAGTTGTGGGTGACCAGCTTATGAAACTTGATTCAAATGCTTTTTAAACAACAGCTTATAAAATCTCATTGAAATCTGAAGTTGTGGGAACTGCTCATGCTTAAAAAAAGAATCAGTTCCAAACCCCCCATTTATTTACAAATGAAATGAGTCTGACCATATTTTTAAACGTAACTGCCCACTTAAACAACTAAATGATACTTGATAAATTGATTAGATGTATTCAACATAGGTCATGTTTGGCACACAAAAGCCTCTGCCTTCTAGCTTCTCTTTTCTTTAAAAAGATCTTAAAAGACTCTAGTTGTATGTTTGACATGATATTTTTTAAGAGCTTTTCAAAAATTAAAAGATCTTTTTTGAGACGATACCGGGTGTAGCATCTGAGAAAAGCTCGTGACTTTTAGTATTAATTAGTCCTAACAGCTTGTATACCAAACCGAACTAAATCAAACAGTCAGCTTTTTACCAAACAGCTATCACTTTTTCTTTTTAAGATCTTTTCAGTCACTAAAAGCTAACAGTTACTAAAAAACTCACAAAAATATCTTTTCAGCTAGTTGTGCCAAACATACCCATAGTAGATGTGTGGTTTCATTTATAGTCTTCAATCTTATTTTAGATATATCCATCCATATAAATAATATACCTTTAGTCCCATTTATTTAACAACTTTTCTTTCGAGCTTCTTCGCCAATGTGAATTAAATTGGACCTATTCGCCAGAAACGCATCTTTGGACAATTGATATTGTCCATTAATGAAGCATATCGGGACAAAGGTGAAAGTGAGGAAGTAGCTAGAAGCTCCTAGTGTGGAACTATTGATGAGCAAAACCCTTAAAAGGCACTTGACTAATTTTAATGTACTCCAATGGGCCTATATATACCTACTATCACTCTACCATTGAAAAGTGAGAGGTGAACGCCACATTTAAGCACCCTTTAATGTTGGAGGTATATTGACTAAGCTAACTCAAAAGAGAGAATCATTAAGAGTATTTTATCAAAGAATGCCTAGCCTAGGAGTTAACTCGAGTTATCATTTAATTGGTATTTCTAATGTAAAATAGTTGTGTATGGGTTAGATTATTGTTGTGAACCATGGCCGGCTCAATAGATTAGGAGACCCGGTGCAAATCACGTAAAATAGGCCTAAATTAAATAAATACAATATAAAAAGCAGTCTTTAAAAAATAATCCAAAAAAGACTACAATCAAATGTGACATTGAGATATAATCATATTTTGAACTACAATAAAAAAAGACTACTATCAAATCAGTAAAAAAAACTAAAACCGAAAAGAAATGAATTAAAATCATGAACTAAAAAAATATAGAGTAGGATATTACTGAAAAAACTACTCCATCCGTCCTTAAAACCAAGCTCGTCCAAACTGTACGTGGAATTTGTGCTAATTACTATAATTAGGCCTTATGTAATAAAGAAGTTGCACATTTATAATTAACAATTGCATTTTAATTACATATAAATATTAGTATTTAATGTTTGTATTAAAAAACAAAATAATAAAATAGGAATCTTTAATCAAATAAAAAAGGATTTTGTATATTATGTAGACTATATTTAAAATTTTGGAACTTCTGAATCGAGAGGCCTTGTGCGGTAGCTGTGAACCTAAATGTGTTAGACTAATCGGTGAGTGATGGATCTTTTGAGAGCTTCATTGAAAACTTGATGTATTCTAGTTGTGGGTGACTTTTTATGTAGAGAGTTTTGCAATCAGCATTGATAACCTTCAAAGACTATTCAAATGACTCGTGATTTTCTCTCTTAATGATCATATCATCATATGTGAATTTTTAGGAATCCAAATTTAGAAACGCTTCTAAAGGATGCAATATAGACAACACTAGGCATGGCAAAAATACCCGGCCCGCAATGACCCGCCCTGGCACGAGACATTTGGGACAGGTCCACCCGCCCCGTCTTGCAAATGGGACAGGTCCGCCCCGCCCCGTCCATCCAATGGGGCGGGTTCGGGTCTTATTATTGACCCCAGGGGCGTAGACAGGGGGTGGCCATCCCTGGCCATGACCTAGCCCAAGTTTTAAAAATGTCTAAATTTTTAGGGTAAAAAATTCCGAGTAATTTTTTTTTTACAAAAATATTCTTTGTACTGGCCCTGTCCGGCCCAGTGTCCTGGCTCCGCCCCTGATTGACCCGTGCCGTCCCGACTCGACCCGCTCAGTATTTTCAACAATTCTTTGCATAACTTTCTAACTTCTCTTGAATATGCTTCCAATGTCTCACTGCACCATGTCAATGATTCAATATAAAGAAAAAGCTATAAGGTGAAAATACCTTTTACATACTTTTTTTAAATTATACTACAAATGTACTTCTACATAAATACATGTGTATAAAATAAATCATAAATTCTTTGGTCTTATAATATATTACTTCGTAATATTTGTATTTGAATGATACAAACGATGAATTATCAATGTCTTTTATATATTCAATTATTAATATAAACAAGATTAACTATTCAATTCTAAGTATTTTTTCTTAATTTTTTAATTTTTAAACGTATTGTGACTTTGATTTAAAATATTTTTTTAATAATTATTCAGATATAAACTTTATGTAGACTTAAGTGGTAACAAGGCGGGGCGGACCCGCCCCGCATGGGGGGGGGGGGTCATGGGTCAACAAGTTTGGACCTGTGCGGGTCACGGGGCGTGGCGGGTCCATCCAGTGAAGTCATAGGGCGGGTTCGAGTATTGCAGTACCCGCCCCGCCCCGACCCATTGCCATTCAGAGACAAAACTAATAAATTACTTCATACGTCCCTTAAAATTTGGTCAATTTTATCGGTACGAGGATTAATAAAACAAAACTGCGCGGTTCATTTTTGCGCAGAGAAGTGAGAATTAATTGGAATCACAAATTCTTTACTTAGAAGGAAAAGAGATTAGTGGGACACTAAAAAAAGGAAAGTTGACAAAGTTTTAAAGGGACGAGGGGAATAGATTTTAGGGAGATTTGAGTTTGCACCCCACTTTTTGAACAATATTGGACTTTGCACTCATTTAAAAAAATGACTTTGGACCCCATTTCACTTAAAGAACTTTTGACTTTGCACCCCATTCAAAAACTTTTCTTCACAAAATTTATGTGATGGGGGTGCAAAGTCAGAATTTTATTAAAATGAGGAGCAAACTCCAATATCACCCAAAAAGTGGAGCGCATAGTCAATTCCCCTAAATTTTAAGGGTTATTTATTTGTTTATATGTATTATGAATGATATGAGTGATTTTTGTTTTGTTTTTAGGGTATAGTAATTTTTAATTAAATTGCTAACTAATGAAGTAATAGGTAGCTCTATTAGGATCGACAAAAATATGGTATCATATATAAAGTGATTGTATTGCATTAATAATTTTTAGTGATAACATTTATACACCATGAAAATTAAGATTTATTGTGTGAAAATTAGTAAGTCCGATTACTCGTGTAAAAAAATAAACATAATTTACACCTCAAATGGATTCATATGTACATCACAAAATCAAAAATTTGAAATTAGGAATATGCATTGTTTTAAAACTGGCTAGGCGCTAGTCGGGCGGTTGAAGGGCGCCTAGCTCCTAGACGGCCGACTAGGCCGATTTTTTTGACCGACTAGACCTCTACTGTTAGGGCCGCCTAAGTCGATTAATCAGCCCGCCTAGGCCAATTTTTAGAACATTGGGAATATGTGAAACTGTAAGAAATAATTAATAGTTATATTAGGCTTATTCTGACCCATTTGTAATTTGGATATTTATTCACTATATATACATCTGTCAGGACTCCTGTGAGTGCATCATGTTCCATTATTTCACAATAATTTCAATTATTATGTTATTAAGGATGTTTTTAATTGGATTGATTTTTTTGTTCTTGTCTTATCTGATCTGACCTAGTCTGGTCTAATAAATGTATGATCTTTGTATATTTTACAAATATTGAAGTTTGGTTTGATTTGTTTAAGTTTGACTTTATTTGATATGGATTGCGACTGAAAAAAAGTCTAAATGAAACATCCTAAAAAGTTGTTTGATGATCTTTGTTTTCGATTTATCAACCTTATGATCTTTGTAATTCACACGTTGAATTACGTAATAATCAAAATTAGTAAGATTAAAGTTACTTTTCTAATTGAGTTTGTTGAAGTTATTATGGAGGACTATTTTCATTATTTTTTATATAATATTTCTTTATTTTAATTTTAACCTTTCTATAATTGAGCATATTTAGTCAAATTCAATCATTTTAACAAAAAATTAATCAATTTCACATTTATCTTATTCAGTGGACAAACAATTTTACCCTTCAATTATGAAATGGGCACTAACATATTTTCAAAGAAGAATGAATAAAACTTTTCAAGACAACGAAATGACAGGAAAATCGACAAACCTCTTCAATACTGGGTGGGTAGTGATCTGCCCCTACCCTCTTATTAGTCAATCCGCATTTATTCTGCGCAGGTAAATATGTGAAGCATCCTAGAGAAGGAAAGGAGGCGATAATCCTTTTCTGGGTGCTAATAAGCTTGATCAAATCCCACTAAAAGTGCTTAACCATTTCATTCAGTGGGGTATTCACACTAAATTGGCCAGCTGTTCCTTTTACTGCTTTCGCCCCCACAGCTCCCTCCTTCCCTCTGTGGAACACCTCATTTTTTTTTTTTTTTTTTTGAGTTATGATTTCTTACTTACCCTTTCTCAACCCCTCCAAAAAGCCCACTTCTTTCTTAGAATTTCATTTTCTTTTCTAGGGGTTTCTTATGTTTCTTGCTGTGTCAATTTCTACTGGGAGTTCTTGAGCAACTACAGTAGGTATGAGGCAGTGGGTGTCCTGGAGGAGTTGGAAGCTTTATTATCTTAATCTGTTTTTGCTTCTCTGTAAGTATTTTATGCTTTGCTATTACATTCTTGAATCATTGATCTGACTATTGTTATAAAAAATGATATAGTTTCCCTTGACCTCCTAGAAACCCAGTTGGGTTTTCTTAACTGGTGCTTTAGGGGTGCTGTCTTGTTAGGGGATTCTAGGTATTCATGTCTATTTTGGTTTTTGAATCATATTTCTTGAAGTTTTCATGCTCTTATTTTTCTTTCATGCTTTTATACATACATTGCTTAATTTCTGATTGTAAAGGAGAATGACTCATTTGTACAGGTCTCCATGACGCCTGCTGCAATCCTGTGAGTAATCTCAAGGGCTTTACAGAAAAAACTGAGGAAGGCCTTCTACCTCAGATCACACCAATTTCATCTCCTGACGCTCAACCCCTCCTTCCTCTTCTAGCTCCTTCTCCACTGGCTCCATTCTCAAATAGCTCTGGCACCCCAAAACTGTCTGGTCTGTTTCCTTTTCAATAAAGTGTTAGGCTCCGTTTGGTAAGAATTATTTGGCTGAAACAGCTGAAATTTTTGGCACAGTTATCTGGCTGAAATTGCTGAATCTATAATTTTCTGAAAGGAAAATCAGTTGGTGACATCCACTTCAGTCAAATAACCAAGTATAAGCTGCTTATTCTTGTGATACGCATAATAAGCCAAATAAGAGTGTGTTTGGGACCTCTGATAAAATTAGATTATTTTAATAATGGATTATACCAATAATAGATTACAATCAAATCAGCTTTTGTTTGGGTAAAGTGCTAAAAAAGTAGCTTCCTACTCATTACTAAGTAATTCCACTTGGATGCAAATGAAAATGTAGTCGTCGCCATAGCGCCATATGTGCCATTCGTATGTGCGCCATCGCCATGCGCCATTAAAAATACCTTTGAGCCATGGCAATCACCATGTGCCATGACAACTATGAAACAGCTTAAAAAAAACAAGCTTCTGAAAAATAATCATAACCCACAACTTTCTAACTTCTCAGAAACACCTGAAACCATTGAAAAAATATGTCCCAAGAAGAGCAGATTGTTTCCACACTCTATTCAATCTTTAACAATAGCTGAATTGTAGGTTCCCAAACAAACTCTAACGCCACAAAATGGAGCCTAAAATTCTTAGGTGACCTTACTACAAATGAAGTAATAAAACTCTAAATTTCTTCAATTTTCATTGCAGGATCTTGTCCATTAAACTTTGCTGCAATGGATAGCATGATAACCATGACCTCAATTGATTGTCTCGCTCCATTCGCAAAGTATCTAGCAAACGTTATCTGTTGCCCACAACTGGAAACCACTTTAACCATTCTTGTAGGGCAATATAGTAAAAACAACAAAGATACAAAACTTGCTTTAAACGGTACCCTTGCAGGGCATTGCCTCTCTGATTTCCAGAAGGTTCTAGAAGGTAAGGGGGCCAACGGTACACTAGAGAGAATATGCTCTATTAACCCATCAATCCTCAGTGAAGGTTCTTGCCCAGTCATTAACGTGCAAGAATTTGAATCAATGGTGGACTCTTCAACCCTTCTTTCTTCTTGTGAGAAGATTGATCTTGTGAACGAGTGCTGTGAACAGGTTTGTCAAAGTGCTATATCAGAAGCTGCCGAAAAGCTTGCTGCAAAAGGTAATGATCTTTCAATAGTTGACCAGTCAACTAGAGCCAATGATTGCAAACGCATTGTGCTCCGTTGGTTGGCTAGTAAGCTTGACCCTACTGGTGCAAAAGACGTTCTTAGAGGGCTTTCTAGCTGCAAAAACAATAGAGGTGAGGAACACTACTAATTCTCTCTCATCGTCTTCTTATATTCATAAGGTTAATGCTTACATTTGTTGTTTACCTAATATTACACTAAGCTATAAATGATGGACATCGTTTAGGCATAAACAGCTGACATAGATCAAGTGTGTACTATGTCTTTCTGGTACGGCCTTTAAATTGCATTCAAGCTCAGCTCCTAGCTACTTCTAGGGTTCATTTGTATTTCCAAAAATGCTAGGTAAAGAAATTATGTGACAATGTATAAAAGAGATCTGAATGGAAAAAGAAAACATTTGTTTAGGCATAATAAATTTATTTTTTATGTTTGTACAAACTCATTTTCTGTAGTTGTTTATATAGAACATGTTATATAGATATTAAGAAATCTAAACATGTTTAAATAAAATCATAACCAGAAAATCTTATTTCATTTTTCTTTGTTTCACAATTTTTTTCGTTTCCTGTGTGAAGCCAAACACAAGAAAATATCCTTCATTGAATTTTTTCCACTCCCTAGCATTTTTTGGGGTCCAAAATACCCTTTAGTAACATGGAAAATTAAAATAGGGAAAAACAAAACAAAACAAAACATCGAGAAGTGATTTGGAAGTTGGAAAAAAGGAATAGAGAAGGAAGATCTTAAAGATGGAAAAGATATTGGAATCTAAATATAGTATGTCGTCATAGTTGAGCAAATACTACATTATGATTGCTAATGCTGATTGCCATCGCCTTTACTTAAGTAAAATTATTATATCTGTAGTCAGCCTCATTGCAAGTAACACTATCTCTCTAAATATCTATATTATTTTCATCCCTCAGTGTGCCCTTTGGTTTTCCCAAACATGAGCCGTAGCATTAGGGCTTGTAAGAACAGGATAAATAACAAGACAACATGCTGTAGAGCGATGAGTCACTACGTTTCACACTTGCAAAAGCAGAGCTTTGTTACCAACTTGCAAGCTATGGATTGTGCTGATTCACTTGGTATGAAGTTACAGGAAGCCAATGTTACACAAAATGTTTACAATCTCTGCGACATCACCCTTAAGGATTTTTCAGTTCAAGGTCTGTTCTGATTATTGAGGCCATTTGAGTCTGTTTTGTAGTTCACGAAGATATATTTAGCATATGCTAACCTTAATTGTTCTTTTTCTTTTTGGATGATCCTCGTATTGGTTCTTGGTGTCTTCAACATGACTTGTACAGTTACACAAGAAGGTAAGGCCTTCTGGTTGTTCTCTTGTTAAGAGTGTATTTAGTAAATTAGTAGTTTTGGATATGCTTAAATATGTTTTTAGGCTCGGCAAATATAGCATTTTTGTTTATAGCCCTGCTTTTTTTTCTTCCCATCCCTGCAATATATATTATTTTCTTCTTAATGGAAATATCCATTTAGAAGAACTATTAATGTTTCTTGGATAACTCTAATTTAAACTTTCACTTCAACTTTTTATAACTTTTTGGAGACTATCAGTGGATTTAAAGCTATGTAAAGTTAGTCATTCTCGAGATATACACTTTTAATATTTTTGGATTGGCTTAAAAACAAAAACAAAAACCTATCAATCACTTTTATTTCATTTTCAAACGGAGTTGCTAGGGTCAGCGGGGGTCTAAAAAGAAAAACATCATAATTATAGGGATGAAAAACAAAATATGATTTTGTCAGGACCTGAAACAAAATATACTTTATTTGTGGGGACTAGAATGAAAACATAACCAAGCTAATATGGAAAGAAGAAGCCCATTATAACTACCATTATTATTATTAGTTTCCTAAAGTATGCTTCCTAAAGTATTAGACCTTAGTTTCCTAAGGTTATTATTAGTTGCAGTTTCCTATTAGTAGAGATATTCTATTTTAGTTAATTTCCTAATAAAAGTATTGTAATAGAATTAAGGTTACTCTAATACTAGACCACCAAGACTCTTGGGACTAGTATAAATAGAGGTGCCATATTAATGATCATAATAATGGGGCTTCTTCTTTCCATATCACAAGCCTTTTAAATATTATGACAGTTTAAATATGGCATTTGATGACCAGCCAAACTACTATATATTGTTTCATGGCCTTTTGAATAGAATTCCCTTCTTACTTTTTTAACTATTATTTTCTGATGGGGCAGTTTCTGGGTGCCTGTTGCCAAGTTTGCCATCAGATGTCATACTTGACCAAACAACAGGGATTAGCTTTGTGTGTGATTTAAATGATAATATTCCAGCTCCATGGCCATCTGTGTCGCAGCTGCATGCTTCCTCGTGCAACAAAAGTATGTTTACTCACTTTCTTCCTTTTCTTCTCCTTTACTTCTGTCCCCCAAAATGATTCCAGCTCCAAAGTCAAATTTAATTTTGAACTAATATTCGTGCAATGACAATCTGCAAATGGTTTTAGTCAATTATTCCATACAATCTTAGAAATACAATAAATGTAGGGGTATAACTATATAACCTTGAGACCTTTTCACAATTTGTACGATAATTACCTTACTCAAATACAACACTTACATAATTTGTCAAAAAAAAATTTATTAAAAGTAAATAAACTAAAGGAACATAACTGTTTTGTTTTGTTGCAGCTGTCAAAGTTCCTGCACTACCTGCTGCTGCAGAATCTGGACAAACCTGTAAGGACATACTTTTTTTGTTTCTTAGTTTTCTTGCATCAGCTTATGCCTAAATATATTGGGCGCATGAAGAGATTTTTATTAAAAGTAATGTTGAGTATGAAATTGCAACCACTCTGAGATTTTTGCAACCAGAAACTTTTTGTTTTACCATTAACATGTGACAGCAAATCAGCTCTCCTGGGGTCAGTTTAGATGGTGAGTCTTGGAGGGGAAGGCTTTGAAGACTTCAGTCCCATCTTGATAAATAAAATTTTTCTAAAACGATATAATGGTTTTTGGAAAGTTTTATATGATCACTCATTATGATATTCATTCTAATGTATAAAATCTCCAAGTGTATGTTTATAATATGCACATCATGATGTGTTAAAATAGTGTGTGTGTGTGTGTGTGTTCTTTTATGGAAATTTGTGTTTGTCACTTGTCAGGTCTTTACACGTTAGACACGAGGTCTCGTCTGCTGGTGGCAATATTAATGTTGATTGTTCTGCTTCTGCCATAAAGCTCATGAGCGGATCCTTCTGTTTTTTAACAACAAAGCAGTGAAAATTCTGTTTTGAGATGATATGCAAAGAAAAATGATGGATGGTAGAATCCCATGTAATTATCACTTCAAAATTGCATTGTATGTGTAAAGTATATTGAGATAGCATTAAGTTGTTTGTTACAAATGTCATATGAGGACTGAGATTGAAAATATTATTGCAGAAGTTAGATTCTCTGGAGTGGTATTTCTGTTCTTCACCTTTCATCATCTTAGTTTGTGAAGTGGGATTTTGATCAATGGAAAACCTTGCACAGCAATCCTTAGTTACAAACTTACAACTTACAATCTTACATGAATATCCACAACCAGAACATGTAGGACTCATTATGAAATCGGAAAACCACCCGTCAATATATAATTGGACATCCGATAAAATTGGAATGATACAGAGAAAATATATCCATATAAATTAGTGGATCTAGTTCTGGAATTGGACGGGTAAAAGGAAATTAGTGCTGGGTTTTTTCCTATTCCAGAGTCCAGACTGGAAGTCTGGAACCTGTCCAGAATGACGGTCTTAAAAAAAGATTGAATAAGGTATGAATAGGCTAAAAGCATGAAAGTTGAAACTAGTCAAACTAGTACCAAGTTACCAACCCAGGTCCCAGGCTGGATCTACTTTACTTTGGTGGGATTCTGGTTCCTCATTCTCTTTGATCTGGACCAGTCCAAATTCACCCCTAATTATTTAAGAAGGAAAAAAAAAAAGCATTTGTACGTCATTTTTTCATCTTTGTTCACTCATTTGATTTATCTATTTACGTTGTAAAGCCTGAGAAGTCTAAATTTATGTAAAAAAAATTAAGTATAATAAATCACACCACTTATCTTTTGATTTTCCATGGTCAAAGCAAACACATGAAGACGAAAAAAAATAAAAGGCAATCCCTGGAAGTATATAACATAACCAAAATGTGATGTACAAAATTGACACAAATCACATGTAACTGATGCATGTAAAACAGATGTATGTTTTTTCAATCAAAGATTGATGAACATCTGGAACACTGAAGGCTGAAGCCGTGTGAATAATAAAATTTTGACAAAAAAATCTCAAGAGCATGAGGGCAAATTGTATGCAAAAAGCCCAAGATTCTTGCACAAATGACATCCGGTAGAGAGTCCACTTGAAGGAGAGTCAAAACAACCAGAAAGTGGACGAACAGTCATTGTGATGGCTAGGTTCCAACCCACTCTTTCACGTGGGGAAACTTTGCATATAGAACCCACATCAATCAATCTTTGTCCATATCATCCATCCCTTTTACTTGTTCAGCGTGAATCTCTGTCTGTGTCACCATATGATGGTGATGATTTGGATCTCATCATATGCTTGCACATCCTGTAATGTTTTATACTGCTGTATCATTGTGTTTCTCGATAATAATAATAACATTAGATATTGAAAAACTTGAATCAGTTTGGGTTGGTTTCAGTTTTGTAGGTCTCAGTTGGTTTTAGTAGGTTTTCTTTTGTTAGGTTGCTACTGTGCCAAACCTTAAACCGAAAACCGCCTAAGTTGAATTGGTTTTAATTTAGGTCAGTTTTGGCTGTTTCTGTTTTTGGTTGGTTTGTAGGTCAGTTTTAGTTTGGCTGATATTCACTTCAACCATAACTTTGTTAATTTTGTTTTGTATGAAATGTATAGCGAGTTCATAAATAAAGGTAAATTTGGTAAGACCAGACAGCTTGTGATTGATTAATGTTTAATATAACTTCCTTAGTATGTGTGATTATAATGGAAATATAAATGGGACTGTACTTTTTCTTGGGAGGGAACAATGTAAGAAGACAAACATAGACAAACATACGCATTGAGAACATCGGCCCTTCTCTTGATTTCGCTTGCCCAAAGTACTGGATTAGCATTTTTGGGCAATGCATCCTGTTGTTGGGATTTATCTCTAAGCCACTGCTCTGCTTTACTGCACTCGCTGAAGACCTACCAAAGAAATATCCATGACCTTATAAATCATTACACTATTCATCTTTTATGCATCTCATTTGACTTTTAAAAAATAGATGACTACTTACGGCATTTTTCTCATTGGGTGGTAGAGACTCTGCAGCAGTTCGATAATCCACTATGCAATTCAGTAGATTTCGTGTTTCCTGTGCCCGTGCCTCTTCATCCATGTATCTGCGCTCAACTGGGTCTATGATCTAATAATCATTGACAAGAAACACTAAGGCTTTGTTTGATTGAACTTGGAAAACGGTAGGGAGTGAGGGGAAATTCATTAAGGTTTGTTTGATTGTGAGGAACTTGGAAAGTGGTAGGTAAGGGGGGTGAAATACCAAGGAAAATGGTTTTACATGTTCATTCTTACATAGAACATACACAGGAAAATCAAATTTGACAAACATTTAGAAATTTAGACATTTTGATTTCTCAGTCTTTATATAATAGAAACATTAAAATACAATGAGTGTGAACAGATATCTAACATTTAAATATAGAGTTTGAAGCAACTCTTTATTTTCCACACATTTTCTTTTCCTTCAAACTTTTCTCTCTGCTTTTTTCATGTTCTATTTCTCTAGGGACTTAAGGCTATGTTTGGGTCATGGAAAATGCTAGGGAAAGGTAAAAAAAAATGCCAAGGAAGTGAATAAAAATATGCCAAGAGAAGTAGTTTTCTTATGTTTAACTTTAACTTGAAAATGAAATATAAATAATTTTTTGAATTTTTATACAAATGTTATGATAGGTTGGTCTTTATTTAATAGAAATAAATAGTTAAAAAAGTATAAAAAAATAGCTAAATAAATTTATTAGGTTCAAGTCTCTCCACTATCTTCCCTCAAATTTTTTTTCCTTCCCAATTTTGCTTTATTATGTTCCTATTGCTCAAATTTTGATTTTCTTTCCTGTTATTTTCCTAGTTCCAAACGAAAATAAGAAAATCAAGATTCTTTAAGGGGGGAATGTATAAATAAAATACATAATAATATTTGATAATGACCTTTTTAAGACTCTGTAGCTTCTGAGAATAGATTTGTTCAGACTCGTCATCTCCGTCCTCATAGAGCCATTCTTCAGTCTGCTGCAAATTACTACATATATCCTCTCTTTCTGAATCAGTGGCAAAGCTCCTATATGTATTCAGAAGCTATATATGCAAATGAACATCATGTCAAAACTTTGGCAAAAATGAAAGAATCAAGGTTCAGTTATAGCAAAGGCTAATGGCTTGTTTGGTTGAGCATTTCAGAGAGGGTATTAAGTTATGTTAATAAGTTATCTTTATCTGCTAGCATCATACATGAAAGATTGTTTGAGTAAGGAACCACCGTACAAATCAATCAAGTACAAGCATTTACAAGTTGTGAATGGTAACTACAAACTACACCCCTGAAACTTGTTTCCAACATTGTTTGCGTGATTGACTGAAGTACTGAACCAACTTGCAGCTTGACCTCAAAGGAGTTTAACATTTTTTGGGTCGGGGTACATGAAGTGCGGACATGGGCACAACACTACCCTCACAGACGGACTTGGGATTTAACTGAAGAGGTGACCTCAAAGCAAAAGGATTGAGGCATTGAGAATATTTAGGAATCTCACCCATGGGATTTGACAGTTCATGATATTGCAAAATTATGTTCTGGTGCAAAAAGAATATCTATGAACAATGAAAAATTAAAAGATTGAAACTCAACCTTAGTACGGGTCTCATAGACATAAGCCTCCAAAGTGTTTTTCTTATCTTTAGTCCGCTCCACCTTCTTGTCATGCTCTGCTAATTGAAATTCTTCATCTTGAGCTCTGGAAAGCTCAGCTGGGGTCATTGCACCATCTACATGTTCTGTAACGGGTATATCTTGCCTCTTGATAGACTTGACTTTTTTTGTTTCATCACCCTGCAAAATTATCCCTGGGGTTATGTTTTGGTAAGTTTATTTTCAACCTAGCTCAAATCGTAAAAATGTTTCAAACCAAAGGAGCTACTATTTAACATAATTCAAAATGAAAATCAATATAATGTTTTTATTGTTAACTTTGATAATACTGCATTATTATTAAAAACAAATTATCAACTTTAATAATACTCCATATTTATTATAAAAAAACCAAACATCATTAATAGAGTAAAACTAATCACGAAATAGATGATTCTAGACTAATTGAACAAGAAATGAATCAATGATATGATCTTTTGTAGTACAACTAATCACGAAATAGAGCAAATTAGTAAAAGTATTTCGGATAATTACGAACACCAGAATTCTGAACAATGTCTCCAGGAAACTTCCATGACAAATGAGGACTAGCCTTTTGGTGGGATGGGAACTTCGGGGGGGTGGGGGGTCAAATAAAGTTGGAACTTGGGCCTCCTCACAAAAGGAAATCGAGTCACAGTGACCAGGCCCTGGCTACTGTTTGCGAAAAAACAGGTCTCCACAAAGTCACACGACCATGTAAGGGGCTGATGCTTGCCCAGTGTTAGAAAGTTAAAGGATGTCGGTGACCTGATGACAGGGAGCCAAAGGCCGTAGCCCTAGTTAGGTTTGAAACAGGAATGAGTCACAAATATGGACAAACTTATTTGTTTTCATTATTTTCTTTCATCCTTATGCACATGGTATAAGTTTACACTTTTTGCACTTGGATACTGGACTAATGGAAAAGGCAAATTTCCTTGAGGTAAACCATAACTCTTTTAATTGTTTTAGGCTTAAATGCAAAAGAAAATTGATAATTATTTTATTTACAAATGCAGGAAGACAAGCTAGAAGCTACATGACACAAGCTGCATTTTTATAAAACAGACTGACAGACTATTCAACTTATCCAAAAAATGTTAGACTGCAGATTGAGACGACTTACCAGATCTGGAAAGACTCAAGATTGCTTACCTCACTGTTGTCTGAAAAAGCATCATCTGGGGCTAATTCAGTCACCTGATCCTCCACGAGCTGAAAAAATGGGAACAAATCAAGAAGCATCAAATCTCAAGGTGATTTTAACTTGACATGTTTTCTGGAAAGTGGAGTTTGGTTAAAACTTACTGATGCTGAATCAATTTTAACCAGCCCATGTACATTCAGCTGAACTCTGACTTTAACCTTTGCTTTTTCTGAATGAGAAACTTGGAAAGGACCAATCTAAAAGAAAGATTTCAATCAATCATAAGTATTTTACGTAATGAATAACAATCTCAATCCAGAGTTCCAGTACTAATAAACCAAATTCCTTAATGGTTGTCAATTTTTCAACCCACCAAAACAATGCTACATGTTCGGTGATTTATATAATTATATCCAATATGGCTTTAGGTATCAGTTCAAAAAAAAACTTGGGGAAATTGTCACGATAATTCTCATTACATAGGAACCTTTAATTCTGCTGCCACATGAGAACAAAAGAAATTTAATCCATGTGTCCGTATTTTATTTACCATTTGACTTTGCACGAGGTTTATGAAAATGAAATTGTGTGGCTCAGATTTATTTGTAAAAGAAAAATCAAAATAAATCACCAAATTCTTTCATTAAAAGGAAATAGAAGATTTTTAGGTACAAAACAAAAAGGAATGAGATTAAATTAAAGGGGCTTGGAGGGGCTACGGACTAGGGGGTATTAAATATCCTACCAACTACAGTTGACACTAGAGGTTGCCTCTAACATCACAATTGAGAGAAACATCTGAACAACAGCGCCATTTGTCTATTTGCAATTATGCAAATTAAGAGCAGCAGCAACATGAAAACCCAACTATACACAGTAAATTTACACATGTGGACTGTGGAAAAGGCATGAAAATATATATTAAAAAACTGTGTTTATATATGAAGCAATGCAAAATAAAAAGATTCCTACCGCAAAAGAGCATATTTTAGTAGGTACACCAGGGGGGAGCTCATTTTGGTTTGCATAAAAGGCTTCCACGTGGAATGATTTTTCCCGATACAACGTAAGCATTTTCACACTTGGAAAAAGATGGCCTTTGGGAAACAATGTACCCATTGATGGTAAGCCCATCTGAACTCCATCTGATGAAAACCCTATGGAAAAGGGATGACGATCCTGTACCTGCAATGAAGATCCATCCAAATATTCAAGATAAATGTTTGTAGAACACAAACAAAATTATGAAATTCCCATTTGCCATTTTTTCAAACAATCTAAAGCTCTAAGCAACACAATAGAACGCATGAGCCAGTTAAGAGGCTGGTTAAAAAGGAGTAATTTGTTGGCAGTGAATAATTCACTAACCTGAAATGGTTTGTTACACGGGAAAGAAAAAGGTATAAATTAGGTATTCAATTTTGCAAATCAACAACCTGAATTGAGTCTTAGTAGCATAAACCATTAGTTATTTTACAATTTTGCAGACTGCTTTTTCTTTATGTCTTTAAGCTCCACAAGAAAAGCAAAACTCTATTACTCTCTCTGTGGAAAGATAACCAATCAAAACTAAAAGATTTGCAAAAGATTGTTCGAACAGTTCTAGCTGTATTTTGATAAGTGTTAGATGTGTTATCACGGTAAATCTGTAACGACTAATAAATATTTTGTGAATGAATAGTACGGGCATGTGTGTGTGTATTTACAGACATATATATGATCTGTTCATCTATGCTCTGTTTGGATGGACTTTGGAGGGATGAGTTATATGATGTATAGAATGATTCTAAAAACAAATAAAATGTGATTGAAATGTTAAAAGATCACATATTATGTCAACCTTTAAATTTAACTGAAATTTATATGCATAGACCTAGCTCGTCAAAGCCTGCCCCACCAAACCACTCCATCCAAACAGACCCAACTCATACAACCAGGAGAGGCACTGACTAATTAGGTAGTGTAGGTCAAGAGACACACCTCATAATCCCTAACACGAAATATTGGGCTAAGCATTGCAGACTGAAGAGCACACCCACGTGCAACACACTCACTAGCATTCAAAGTGCGACTAAGTTCTTTCCTGAAGAAGTAACTTAAAGCTCTAGCAATAGCTGGTATTCGAGACCCTGACCCCACAAGTTCAATATTGTGAATATTATCAAAATGCAACCCAGAGTCCATTAAAGCCTGTTGACAAGGAATGGAAATCCTCTCCAGCAATTGTGATGATAGCTTCTCAAATTCCTCTCTCCGGATGTAACCCGTCACATCTTTCTCATCCATCAAGCATTCAATATTGAGTTGTGCCTCTGCATTTGCACTCAAAACTTTCTTCAATTTCTCGCATGCTGACCTCAGCCTAACAGAAGCACGAGCATTTGAGTAGACATCGATATTGTATTGTTCCTTGAAGTTTCTGGCAAAATGTCTGAATAGAACCTCATCAAAATCCCTTCCGCCAAGCTCAATATCAAAAGCATGAGAAAGTATCTTCATATGTCCTTGATCAAAAGAAGCCACAGCGACTTGAGTATCGCAATGGCCAATATCAACAAACACAACATTAGTAGGACTGCCAGCTAAAAGGTCTGTTTTGTAAATTCCATAACCTAGAGCTGTAGCAGTGCAATCATGTATCAACCGGAGTGGGTTTAAACCACCGATCTTTGCAGCCTGCAAATAGCATCGTCTCTGCAAGTCCGTGAAGTAAGAAGGCACCCCAATGACACAATCAGAAACATCTGTTTCCATATTTTTCTCAGCAATTTGTCTTAAATGTGCGAATAACATTGCAAGGACTTGAATAGGGCTAAAAGTGCGTTTCTCATGGAGATACTGTAGATGAATCAAGATACCCCCATCATGCCCTTCAGATGTCTCAAAGGGAAACAATTTCAGATCATTTTGTACTGTAGGCTCTCTATATTTCTTGCCTATTAACCTCTTAAACTGGGAGATTGTAGATTTGGGGTTCATTGTAGCAGATGCAGCCCCGGCAGAGCCCAAAAACCGCTGTTTCTCACCAAACGACACCACAGAAGGAGTCTCTCGTTTTGACTCATCATTTAATATCACATCAATTCCACGTTGCCTCACGACTGCTATGACGCAATTCTCATTTCCAACATCAAACCCAACAACACTCATTTCCAGCTTCTTAAAATTCGCAATTGACAATTCAACAAAACTAGGAAACTATGTCCAATACAATTTAATGGTAAAGCATATAACCAAGCCTTCGTTAGATAATTGGATTAGAGTTGTGCGCAATCCGGTAAAAGCCACAGCATCTCAATGTGAGATTCACCTGTGATGAAGAGTGATCAGCAAAAACAGCTCAGAAAGCACTAAAGCGGAACATTCGAATCACATAGACTACATTTCACAGCAATAAACGATGTATTGCAGCTAAAGGCCGAGTAAAATAAAAATTGTATGGCAAGTACCATACATACATTTTAGAGAGAAGATGCCTGTCTTGAGAAGGGGCTGAACCCTAGCAATGGATGAAAGCAGGTCGGGTTATGGGGAGAAATCTCCAAAATTGGTTCCGGTCTGAAAGAAAGCGGAGAGTTTTTTAAAGATCTGTCTGTACGCTCTCGATCATGTGTTCATTTTCTGTTCAATATTCGTTTCAGAATGCCAATACAGGTGACGAGCATGTAATTTCTTAATTATGAATTTTGATATAATTGGTCTAAAATTTGATTTAAAGCCAACATCTAACATAATAACACTATAATAAATAAATTTGAAATATGAGTGACGTTTTATAAAGTACTTTTAGAGTCGAATTAAGGGTGCAAGTCAATCCATAAAATTATAGCATTGATATATAGTTATATACTGTGTATGTAATTATTATCGGCATACACTCTATACGATGAATGTCCAATGAGAAATTTATAAATAAGGAAGTCTAGTCCTCAAAAAGAAGTGAGGGATATTAATATTGTACTAGTAGCTATAGTTGGGCTCATTGTAGCTCACCTTCAAGGAAAGATTAGTTGCAAATGACAGTCTAATTGTTTCAAATGAGTTTGGGTATTGCATTTTTCAAATTAGGAACCGAACCTTACCCGGTTCATTTAAAACGGGTCGGTCCGGATCGGGTTTTTCGGTTCCTATTTCCATGTCTTTTTTTAGCGTCCTATTTCCATGTCTTAAAAATTGTAAAAACTTACAAAGTTCAAAAAAACAATAATCAATGATAAATAATATAATACATTGACACGTTTCAAAATAACAACATATTGGTGCACATCTAACACAAGTGACAATTTCAATACTTCGTAACTTTATATATCTAAGTTCACAAACAATATGGTCATCAATTACTAAATCCTATTTATATGAAAAGTAATAGGATCATGAACTGAAGGAATCTTCATACTTTCAGTGAACAACCGATTGACGAAGTTGGAATTAAACAAGTCCTTGATGAATTTTTTCCCTATTGGACTGTAGGACGATGAATGCCCATGTGGCATGTGCAAATCATAATCACTAAACACACAAAGTTTGCAATACCTAAGGACAAAGTCAACTATTTATAAATGTAAACAACACGTTTTAATCACAACCTAATGGGCTAAGTAAACTAAATTGGCAGAGGACAGTGTATTAAAAAATTACTTTACAGTATATATAACGGGCCAGGCCGGGTACCCGGTATTTTTTTATTTTGGAACCGGCCCGGGTCTTAAAAATAAATTACCCGGACCTACCCGGACCATTTTCTTGCAACAAAAAGTGGAACTGGCACGTTTTGAACCCGAACCACCATTACCCGGACCGGACCGGGGTTCCAAGACCCGTTTGACCACCCCTAGTTTCAGTTGGAAACAAATGAAACTACATACTTTTTTAGGTGACATGTATTACCACATACTTCGTACGTCCTAATAAATCTTTTATTGACAACTTTTAGTTATATGGATATACCAACACCAACGTACTAGAGACCGGTCATCTCATACCATCATATATACCAGGGGCTGTAGCCATCATCTTTTTCAAATGGCCAATTATACCATCGTCAATATACTATAAGTCTAGAACAAAAAGTGAATGTATGCAATTCCTTAAGAGCAAATCCTATTTTTCTAAGTGTTTTTTTACGAGAATATTACTAAAATAAAACTTATTTACATAAATATGACTATTCATTACTACAACGTAATGTTGTGGTAACTAAAGTTCAAAACTTGAATATGAATTACTATGATTTCATTACTACTCTAGTAATGAATCATATTTTTGTAAACCATCTTTATTTTGGTCATATTTATGTAATTATTTCTTTTTCTAACTACTATTCTAGATATTGAAATATGACAATATATTATAATAAGATTATGTAAATGGGGATATTTTATCGGGTGAATGTAAAATAAAATTGTTTTTCATAGACAATCCATCCTCGATTTGTTTATGCTTTTAGGAAAACAGCTTTAAATAATGATACTAATAATTAGCATTCGTGTATACACAATTAAATTAATCGTAGTAATAATAGGAGAGATAAGCGAGAAATCTTGGAGCATGAATTCTCCCTTTAGGTATAGTATATTAGTATATAGTCTATATAGTATGATCAAGAAACAATACTTTATGAAACAAAATTTCTTTCATTCTTCTAAAATAAACACGGTTTTTCATTGCATTGATGGCTCATTCTCAATTTGATATATTGTTCCGAAAGTAACTTAAAATGATACAAATTAACATATGTGTATATCCATAATAAACGTATTTTAAAAAGAAGTTTTAATAATGTTGACTATTCAAATTTATAACAAAAGAACCACTTTCAAACTAAAAAATTAGTCATTTAAGACACCAAGCTAATATCAATCAACCAAATTAAGGTTATTGGAAATGGGATTTTGGATATAAGTTTTTGATGAATAAATTGATTGAAGTAATAGTGAAAAAATGATTATGTGTCATTTTCTACATACTTTCAAATAGTTGGGTACATGATGTTGAACAGTAATTTCAGAATATGTAGAGGTTGTTTTCACGCGAAGAAGATAATTGAAACCGAAAGAGCAAGGAACTACTACATGATTCAAGGTTCTGATGTTAATGAACACAGAGAGGTTGTTTTCACACGAAGTATAGGACCTAGTGAGCAAGACTTTAGATGTTCTAAAGTAGGAAAACCTAATGGAGTTGTATCAACCGGCGATGCAAGAGCCAGTAATGGGATCCATGAATGAGGAAGAAGCACCTGAAACTCCGGTCTTCTATCTACATATTTGCCTCGTGATGGGAGTCTTTTTTATACATCGGAAAGGATGCAACAGGAGTCTCTAGCTACTAAAATTTAACGCTCTCTTCTAAGTTCTTAGTTTTTGTTTTGAGTGTTATGTCTTAAATATGAAAATATTGTTTGGTGAGATGTTTTACATAATTAGAAATATGGTGCATATAAGGTTATTTTCTTTGCTTAAGTTTTCATGTAAAATGTTACATTAGAATTTACATAACCTGAGATTCTTAAGCAATATATTTAACATTTGTTACATTATGATCACATTTATATATTGATTTTAGCCTTAATTATTTGTTAGGATTTTGATGTTGGAAAAGTTAAATTTCTCAATTGATGGGCCAAACAATATTATTGTGTAATAGATAAAATATTTTTGAACACTCTTTATTTGGTTTTAAGGTCCGCCATTGGGCGATCATTCAAAATCATTACAATAGATCAGCAGGCCCGTGCCTTATGTAAGGCTGGAGAGGCTTGGGCCTCAGGGCCCCAAAAAATAGGAAAAATTAGGGGCCCATAAATTTTCAAAAATTACTACTATTATACTGTGTTTCATATCTAATTAGTAGGCCCGTCCAAAGTAAACCCACCCGCCCCTGCGATTTGCGAAGGATACAAGCGAGCGACTGAAGCGAAGAGGCGAAGAGGACATGGACTCACGAACGGACTGAAGGAGGAGTGGAGAAATTCCTTGCCGGCCGCCCCTGGCTCTAGAGGAAGTCCTTGCCGGCCTTCTCTGTTCTCTACTTGACTACTCTGGCGGCTGACCCATAGAAGTGATTCCGATTTCTGGCTTTGCACAATCGCACTAGCTACTAGTTAGCAAAATCGCAGGTAACATTTTTTTTCCTTCAGCAGCTCTAGCTTTAAGATTCTATTTTCTATTGACTAATGACTATAGTCAATTAGTCATAAGTAATAATCCTGATATTTTATTTGGGGGCTCAGGACGTTATGTATTTTCAATTATGGGGTTCTTGTGGAAATTCGGATGCACTCAGAGTCTCAGAATAAGATGTTCTGTATTTTTTCTCATTCCACTCAAATTCAAACTGGAATGTTTCTTAAGAACTTAACTACTTAAGGAATTGTTACAAGATTTGTTCTTATTTATATATATATTAGTTCATTCTTTGCTTGGTTTTTTATATTTAAGGTTATCATTTATGAATGTTATGTTGCAATTTTGGCATTCTCAATTTACAATTAATTGAGTTATAATATTATATGCTTTGTATTTTTTAGAGAAAAATTACTAATATATATTGTTAAGAATACCACTAAATTATGTATTTTTAATTTTTTAGAACCATGCCTCCCAAACATTTGTCTGGATCTCAAAAGAGGAAAAGGAAATCACGTATTGAATCATTAACTCAAAGATTAGCTATGATATCAATTGAGAAGGAATTTATTGATGACATAGATTATGCGGACGTGATTAATACTTTTGCATCTAAAACTGTTCGACGAGTTGTACTTATTTAGTTTTTAGTACATTTAACGACATTTTGTTATCATGTAAGACTTTTATTTTAGAATTGTGGTTTTTATATTTAATCAAACACTATGTGTAGGGCCCATTTATGATGATCGTCTCAGGCCCGGATTTAGTTAGGATCGGCACTGTAGATCAGTCTTAGGTACCGTTTTTAACCATACAATACAATTAATATGTAACATTAGGTCTTAAAATATAGTAGTGAGGGCTTTAATAACTCAAACGTATACTAGCAAATAAGTTTATATTTATTATAACTCCTAACGCCCACTGCACGTACCAATGCCACATTTTTGAATTGTTGCATCATGTATGGTGTATTGCAAATTGCTTGTTTACTATAAAAAAAACATGGGATTGACATGAATATTTAACAGTGATTTTGTCAGGGATATGTCAAATTCGTGCCAAAAATAGTTTGACACGAGCTATTTGACACGAAATCATTAATAAATTCGTGTCAAATTCGTGTCAATCCCATAATTTTTTATAGTGAAATCGATGGACCATAGGTGGCCAAGATTGAGGGGAGTGATATTACAAATTACATTAAATTATCCAAAGTTATTATGTAGTCCGCCATATAATTTACCTCGATCATACGGGACCAATCACACATGGAAAAAACATATCAACATTGATAATTTTTTTTATAAAGGGTGGTGTAGTACGTTTTTGAGTGTTCTTGTTAATTAGTGTGTGTGTTCCTACTCAACTGCAATTTGTTATTTGTTTTCTACATTTTGGGGTGTCTCTGTGTTCATTAAAGTATGTTTAATGTTTTCACATTAGTCAACGTGTTTGTTCGACATGTTATCTAGTAGTGATGATTGATGAATGATGATGAAGGATCATGACACTTATTCTCAAAGCAAAAGATGATAAGAGATATTGTGATCAATTTCTAGGTAACAAAAAATGTTTGATCATCAA